CCTCCAGCCACCCCCATAGTTCCTGCCCTTACCTCCAAGTTGTTCTAGGAGCAGTAGCTCAGCCAGCTGATGTTACTTCCTCAGCTGCTAGCAACAGACTGCTACCCTAGCCTGTGTGTGCTGGGTCCTAAAATGGCCGCCCTAATCAAGCACCTGCTGGCTGCCTGCCTGCAGCCCTTAAAGTGGAAAGCACCCCAAAGATGCATTGCCACAGAATCTTATAGCACATAAGCAGCACCCTCTGCTGCCACCACAGCACAGGCTACCCAGAGCAACCATTCTGGCACCTTCTTTGTACCAGTGCCCAGGGCTACTGTCCAACGTGCCCACCCCTAGTTACACTAGTGTCAAAGATGACTATATTATAATAGATTTTTAAAAATCACTACTATATTATAATAGATAAATAATAGATAATATATATTAAAAAAAACCAAAAAATCACTACTTCATTACAGGTTATGGTCACATATTTGGATCTGGCTACCTTTATGTTCTTGAATAAGTCTTATGATCTCTATGTTCCATTTTTATCTACTTATAAAAGCAGAAATATTTTATTCATTGGCTATTAGTAGGACCTATTCAGATGATCAGTTTAGGAGAAAGTCAGTGCCAGGGTAGTTTGGAGACAGCAAGTGCTGACATATCTGAGCTCTAACTGAAAACCATTCAGTTTTGGGGTTTTATTAGAATATTACTTTTTTAACAATCCATGTGGTGATTTGTCAACATTCTCTTAAATTCATTGGGTTAGGATTTTGTTTTTGGATTGGTTGTGTTTTTGGTTTTTTACTGAGTCCCAAATGCAACAGACACAGGAAGTCTCAAATAATTCAGAGTATAATCCTGGCTACAAGAAACTCAAAGCTCCTATTGAGCACACCCCCACAACCATGCACATGCTGTTTGCAGCATCTCAAAGCAGTCTGAGGCACCACAAACCACACACAGCATATACCCACCATTAATTAGCATTGTGGCTGTGGAGGGGTTTGACATCGGGAGATCCCAGTATCAAAAACACCAGACCACGCTGGCTGAAAAAAGTGGTGCAGCATGCGGAGCAGCAGCATGCACCACAGAAAGGGAGCCTGGCTTGTCAGAGCCATGCTCTGGCTGCTGGCCAGGCTCCAAGCAGCTGGACTGCAGCTGGTGCTGCTCTGGGAGGCCCCCAGGACCTCAGGTAAGGCTGCTTGGGCCAGCACAGGTGCTGGCCCCTGTGGCGGGCCAGTATGGGGTGCTCCTGTGCAGAGCCACCCACCTCACTGTGCCCCAACCACCTTCCAGGCTCTGAGTGCCTCCCAGGGGGCACCTCATGTCTAGCCAACCCCCTTCCTGGAGCACACCTGCTAGCCTGGAAGTAGTGCTTCCACCACCCAGGGTCAGGTCTGATCCTGGCATTGTGCCCCCTAGGAAACACAGACCTAATAGTCTCTAAGGGTGCTCAACCCACTTCAAGAATTTGGGGTGCTTCCCTCAGTCTGAAGCACAAACAATGGTCTCCCTCAATTAGTCGAGCCAAGGGGACCCCAAGGTATAATCTAAACCCATTTCCAATAAGTCTCCCACAATAGGTACAAAGGAGAACTTTATTAGTTACAAGAAGTAGGTTTGGAATAGGGTACAGGGTTGAGCAGTATCAGAGAAATCCCATAGAGCAAACAGGGTGGCTGGGGTAGCCTTTGATCACACATCTGAGATACTGCAAGCTATATATCTAGTTACATCTCAAGTAGCTTACTCATAAGTATCATCCAGAGGCAGGTAGAGATTCCCTCTGGAGGCAGGCAGTTCACTGATCATGAGTTAAGAAAGAGCAAATTTCAGATGGTCCAGCTCTTTTCTCTCCGAGTTTTGATCATGGCTACTCCCCTCCTCCTGGGCACTGCTTAACTTATATAGCCCTTATGACCTCATTTACCTGGTCTAATGGAGGCCAGCACCTGTTGGCTGCCAGCCAAGCAATTTGAAATGCATCACTGGTTGCTGGGCAAACTGGCAGGGTCTCTAGAATAATAGGGAGCCCAAGCCCCTCACCCAGGTATGTGATGTCAGTCACATAGGCAGAGGGAGCAGGTTTCCCCCCTCCCTCAGGAATGTATCCTACTCAGGGTACCTAAAGAGATAGGATGTCTGCCATCTGCAGGGCCCATGTTAACCACAGAGCAGTTTTTGGGGAGAGACAGAGGTGGCATTCTGCCACAGCCCCAACTTCCCCTACCCAACCCAGGACATTTTGCCACATGTGCAGGGGCAACCCCATGCCAACCCCACATGCAGGGGCATATGCCACTGCTATTTTTGCCATGGCAACCTCATGCCCTTTCATGTGGGGATGCACCCGCTGACTTCAAAGTAACCAGGATTTTAACTTTTTCATCCTAATGAAACAGCTTGACATGGTGAAACACTAAAGCCAAAAATCTTGTTTCTCTACCTCACAAACTGTACTCCAGAATGGATGTGTTTACTATCCCTCAGGCAGTGAAATCCAATATTCTGCTTCCCACACTTCACTTTTGTCTTATTGCTACAATCAGTTCCTAGACTTTTTACTAAGACATGCCAGAAAAAAACACCACCACCTCAACACAGATAAACTAAGTCCTGAACTGAAATACCCATACAAAAATATTACAGCTACTTACAACCTTTCAGTATATAATAATCACACTATACAATTTTGTATATCTGCCTACTATTCATGAACATTACACCAAACAGATAGATACTCATAGTTTATGTAAGAGCGTTTCTCCACAAATCGTAAGCCACCTATTTATGTACATATCCATGTACATTGTAATGATACTACACCAATATCTGTCTAAACACAGACAAATAATATCCAAATACCAAATATATGTTTTAATACACATTACTTTTTTATGCCAGCTGTATTTAACTTTGTACCATTATTACTCCTTATATGGGTATGCATTCTTGTATGCCCACCAACATTCTATAGGACATGCTTAAGTATGTATCTGCCTAAATGTACACATTTAGAAACACATTTAGGTTAAATATTTATAGATAACATTCATAAAATGTTAAAATATATCATCATTACAGAACTATGCTACATCCCTGCAACACAGACACACCATCAACAATACTAGAACTAGCTGAGGGCAAGAACAACTTGTTCAATGACTCTTTGCCATTTCAGAAAATGCCATGATGGTTCATTGAGTGTTACTCTAAGGAATCAAAACATGGGGAACACACCCATCCCCATACCAAGAGACTCTTGCCACAGAAGTGTTATTGGCAGTTTTAAAGAAAACAGCAGCCTGTTTATCTCAGCTGATCTTCACACAAGTGTCTTCAGTTATGCCACCATAGTGTAATGGTTTGTTCTTTGTCTGGGGTTATGCTGAAATCTATGGCAGAAAAGAAAATTAGTTCTTTCCTTTGAACTTCACTGCCCATGTTTACATCAAATTACTTTAGTGCAAGAAGGCATTCTACTTACTCTAAAAACTGCAGTAAATATATATCTAAAACTCCCAGCATAAACACAACTGCTTTAATAGAAGGCTGCAAATGTACCTCATACAAATCAAATTCCATATCATCACCACCTAACACACAGTATGCCAGCTCCCCTTCTAAAAATAACACCCTATTAATAATAATTGCATATAACTAGCAGCATAGCAAGGATCTCTATAACTCCCTTTGCTGAAGTGTGCATCAGCACATCTAGAGATTCAGTGAGACAGCTGCATTTAATTTGCAAAGCTTTTACCATGATTCCTCTCCTTTCCTTCCATTTGATGTGTAACCCAGGCAGTACTCCAGGATGTACCCCCTCTCCAACTGAAGGGATCAGAGCAGGTGCACAAGCATTGTGGGGGGTGTAGAGATCCTCCTCCCCTTACAGAGCAGAGCCAGATCACTAATGGGGACTTAACCATATACCTTTTAATGAGAGAACAGTAGTAGAAACATAACAGGTATAAACCAGGGGGTATAGGGGACACTACAGCACCCTGAGGGGACAGGATTCAATAAAGGTTAGACACTTACAATCATAGACATATTCATCCTGTTGACAAAAGACAGGGTTAACAAAATATAAAACACAAACAGCAGAACAAACAATACTGGTTGGCAAAATATAAAAGGCACAAAATATAAAACGTCAAATAACAAGAATTATAAGACCTAGGTACCAGGGCAGGGGACACAATGACCCCCTTCCACTGTAACAAGAATTTCTCCCTGTCACTTCACTCATCCCAAGTGGGACTTGAACTTGGCTCTCCCATGTGGTAGGCAGAAACTCTACCACACAGACACCAATGCTGGTACTGCTTCAAGCTGCTAGGGGTCTTGACCTTCCAGGAGCCCCAGCCTCAAATCAAGCTTCCTCGTCTTTTTGGAGAGCTGAGAACCTCTCAGGTCACTGCTCAGATCCTTGCTGGAGCTGGAGAACCTCTCCTGCTGGCCACAGCCTCTTGTAGGGGATCCTGGAGCCCAGCGGGGAGCCTCTCCTGCTGGCCGCATGCCGCACTGCAGAGGGTCTGCAGGTCCCACTCCTTCAGGTTCTCCTGGGGCAACTGCTCCCACTCCGCTGGCCCAGCTCTTTGATACTCCTTCCTTGTGGTCCCTCGCTGGTCTCCCCTGAGTCAGTTGTGCTGCCTCTTTTATCCCCCTCCAGGTGACCCAAGGGGCCAATCAGGGGACATAGAGGGAGAGGCTCTGGGGCTTGATTGGTGAGGAAAGGGAATTCCAAGCCCTCTAATCATCTTTTACCCTTTCAAAACCCCTGGGCTAAAACCCAACCAGCTAGCCCGTCACAGATGTTTTAGGGCTTGAGCCCACTCCCACCGAAGTAAATGGCAGAATTCTGATGTAAGTGATGTCCTGCATCTGTACAGTAAATTAAAAGCTAAGGCCATTGTGACAGGGTGCCTGAAGCACCTGCCATGGACAGAATGAGAAAGAAACAAATGAGAATGAGAAAGAAACAAAAGGAAAAAACTTACCCTGAGGAGCAGGAAGAGCCATGGCAAACCTGGAGACATCAAACGCCGTGCTCAAAACAACCAGGGGAGTCAGCTGGGGCCACAGCAGATCAAAGGCTGTCGCGGCAAACCCAGCCGCCAGGGTTCAAACCTGAAAAGAGGAAAGTGGCATGGGAAAAGAACAAAGAGAAAAAAAAGAGAGAAACCACACCGGAGAGCAAAGGAAGAACAGCTGGGTCAGGCAGGCAGTGAATAGGAAGCTGCCATGGCAGACCCACTTGGAGAGAGGGAGATTTAAGGGATGCAGAGAGAGCATCCTGGGGTCAGAGGAAGGGAGGAAGAAGAGAAGATAAGAAAACAGGCGAGGGGAGGAGATCGACTGAGGAGCCAAAGTGAAAGCTCTGGCCTCGCAACTTACCTGACAAGACCCAGCGGGGAATTGGAGCCAATGGAGAGGCTTGAGTGACTGGTGAGTCCGGTACCGGCGGGTGAAGAGAACCACTCTGGGGACCTAGGAGAAGAAGATGACATAGGCAAAGTTACTCCCCAGAGAGGGGAGGAGGAAGAGAGAGTAGGTCCCAGCCACAGGAGGGTGACGGGGGGAACCAGGAGAGAGAGAAACAGCTGTCTTGGGTCCCATGCAGGGAAGAACAGAGCAAACAGCCACTTAGACAAGGACCCTAGTCAAGGGCCCTTTGAACAGGAATAGGAATAGGAATATCAATCTTACAGGCAATCAACAATGCCCAGAACATCAGGTGTAGTGAGGGCAGGGGATGGGAATGGTGGAGCCCTGCAAAGAATCACTGACATCTTGAGTCCATAACTATTCTCAGTTGTCTCCCAGAAGTGTCTAAGCATATCTCCCATAACACCAAAGGCATGGCAGACAATCTACAATGATGAGACACTACTATTCCAGCTGGGAGGCAACATGACTCTGGGCAGCACGTCAACCCCCTTACAACCATGATTCAGCAAGGCACTTAAACACGTGTCTAGTTTTAAGTACATAGTAGTCTCACTGGAGTTGATGCCGTTGTTCATATATTTAAATTAGACATGCTCCTAAGTACCTTACTGCTGAACTGGGGTCTAAATCTTGAGAAAGCCTGAATGTGATGGGTTCATGAGTAGTGTATGTTGACTTGGTTATTTGGATGTTTAATATAATAAAAAGTGTCTCTGGCTCAGATCAAGTTTAGTTGAGTAAAGCAAGGGACTCTGGGGGAGGGAGGGAACAAAAAAACAAACAGGCAGGGAAAAATGGCTACAGGAAAGCCCCACAATAATTGGAGATCAAAAGAACTCTCACAGATTTAAAAATAAGTTTTATCTTCTCAGCAGCTTCTTCAGGGAATCAAGCTGCCAAGGTTAGCACTAAGAGATGGTAAAATTTTAATTAAGACAGACAGACAGACATCTTGACTCTTCTTAAAAATTCTCTTCTTCCTCTCAATCTTTGTTCCTGGTGTTAAAATAAACACTAGGTGTGAAGCAGCAAGAATTCGATTTGGATTTGGCCAATTTGGAGGGACAGTGATTCAATTCTGTGATTCAAATCACTGTCCTGATTTGATTCAGTTGATTTGAATCCAAAAATTTGGTGCCGATTCAGAGATTCAGCGATAGACTAAACAGGCAGCAGTCCTCGACCACGCTGGACACAGCTGCCTCCAGCTAGTAAGTCTTTTGTGGTGGACAGAGGGGGGGAAGTGGTATGGGGGCGGGGGTAGATCAACACCCCCACAATGAGGGATTAGGACTGGGGCTAGAACAAGCTGCCCAGTTGGGGGGGGGGGGGCGGGGGGAGAGGG